AAAAAAATTATTTTATTTATTTTTTAATATTAAAAATTTCTATACTTCAAAGCGTTTATAAAAGTATATTTACATATATGCACGGACGATTTTTAATATTTTTCATCCGTAAGCAAATCTTCAGTACCATAAAAGATTCAAACACATCAAAGTACAAGCAATGCAATGTCCAAGCTAGTGCTACTCCCACTGTACATGTGTATATGAATGTATGCATGTATGCGTGTAAAAAATGTCAATTCCAGTTGGTTTTTAACCCATTTTAGCGGACATAGTTTTTTTGGTTTCAGCTGGTTCCAACTGTTAATGAAGCACAATTTTTATGGTTAATCTTGATGAAAGTTACATGTATCGTCGAGAACATGGTTACATGCAGAATTTTAAATTAATTAATATTCTTCTCCATATAAAATGTACGAGTATGGCTTTATTAAATGTAAACTTATGCGAAAACCTAAATATTTCGTCAACCAAGGGTTAATTTTGGTGGCGTCGTGGCAATTCGCAGAAATTTAATAATTTGTCTATGGTTGGAAGGCGGCGAGGGGAAGACGAAAGCAGAACAATCGTACATATTTATGCACATATTTACATTTATAAATGCACACATATTTATGCGTTTGTCTTCTTGGACGAATGAAAAATTTCATATATGTCGTGATTTAGAGATTGCCGTTTCAGTAATGCACCGCGGCGTGTACGCTAGAGGCGGTGCAACTTTTTGGCGTCTCGCCGTTTGTCTTGATTCAAATCCCGGACGGACCAAGTAATAAATTTATTTGTTTTTTTTTTTAATTGTCATATCCATATTCCATTTTAAATTTTACTATTAGCTTTGTTTAAAATAATATATGTAAATGGATGTGCAGATACAAACGCATGCATAATTTCACATAATCGCTCAAATTTGCCAAAAGTTACTGAAAGCTTTATTGTAAATATTTTCACTAAAATATTAGTTATTGGAATTAAAATTTTATGCGAATCCAATTTTTATTCCCATTTTTAGAAAGCGTAAGTATGTATATGTTCGTGCCACAAAAATTATTTCATAAGTAGTTAATTTTAAACACAAATATGTATGTACACTGGCAAAGTGAGTGCATCCTGTTTTTTGTTTAATATTTGCAATGTTTTTAAGTTAAACTTTTATGTTATTTTCGACGGGAATTGCGATTTTATGCATATAGCGAGTGCAATTTGTAAAAAATAGCGCTAATTTTTTTTTATTTGTTTGCAAACGGTCATGCGCATTTTATTCTACAAGAAATCTCTTTTATTTGGTAAAAGTTCAAAAAGCCCTCAGCAATAAATAATCATTAAAAATCAACCGGATTTTTTAGCCGCTTAAAACTTGATCTTGTTCCACTAGAATTAAAAAACCGATCTATCTGCGTACTCAAAATTTTTCTAAAAATTCAGATTAAACAGGTCAAAATTTAGACGAGAATTCGTTGAATTTTTCTATGTTCTGTGTAAAGTTTGAAACTTTGACTTATGTAGTTTTAATTAAAGCATGAACCACATTTTTATAAAAAGATAATAAAAAAAATTTATTTGAAAAGCATTGCAAATATTAAGCAAAAAACACCATGCACTCACTTCTGATTGCCAGTCTATGTATGCATGTACATATGTGTGTAAACTTTATGCCAAACTATCATTATTTTAAATTGTATTTGCATCTTCATAAAAGGAGAACAAGATAAAAAATTTAACAAAAATTACAAATTAATAAAAATTATGAAGATTTACCATATTTTCGTTTATTTGCTCGCAAAGAACATCACATTTCATGTTGCTCAACATTGTATTATGTTATCAACATTAAATTCAAAAGAATTTCTACATTCCGACTTGAACTTTTCTAACGCTGTTAATTTTTCGTCCGCGAATAGTTTCCACTTTCAGTTTGCACCTTCTCTATCTATCTAAGTTCTCTGATATAACTACATACTTCGCATGGAATAGCGGATAATATTTACGTACATACATGCATATTTCAGCTTAGTAAATTCACTTACAGTGGGTCTAATACACCAATTCAATCAAGAAATTTAACTTTAAGAAATATTACAAATCATATAGAAACAATACAATAAGCATACATGAATACGCAACATGCCAGCGCCCTTGATGTGCCCATGGAGACATCAACCAACTTTAATCAGCTTTCGGAACTATCGCTACCTTATGTATAGCGCTGCGAAGACAACCATTATTTGTTTTTACGTCAACCACTCTTACTGCTCCAGATGGATCGGCTATCGTCTTCACTACTCGACCCAGAAGCCAATGTTTTGGTGGTAAATTATCTTCTGAAATTAGGACCAATCTGCCTTCTTCGATGTTTCGCATCTTCGCCGTCCACTTAGATTTTCGTTGCAATTCGAGTAAATACTCACGCGACCACCTTTTCCAAAAATGCTGTTGGATGGCGGTAAGTCGTCTCCAGCGATCTAAGAACTGAATGTTTTCATCTTCAATTGACGGCTCAGCAATGCCTATTAAAGGTCCACCTGTTAAGAAATGTGCTGGTGTCAGCGCTGCTTCATCATTTGGGTCATTTGACAAAGCTGTTAACGGCCGCGAGTTCAAAATCGCCTCAATTTCTGCCACCACCGTGCTAAGCTCCTCAAAAGTCAAATACGTTTGCCCTAGAATGCGAGTTAAATGATATTTTGCTGATTTGACCGCTGCCTCCCATAAGCCTCCAAAGTGAGGTGAACGGGGAGGTATGTGATGAAAGGTAATTTTGTTGGAACAGCAATACTTAGTAATTTCACCTTGAGTTTGTTGATCATTGAATGCCTTGCATAGATCCATAAGCTCACGCCGAGCACCAACAAAATTTGTGCCATTATCACAAAACAGCTTTGTGCATAAGCCACGGCGCGCCACAAACCGTTTCAGTGCCGCGATGAACGCCTTCGAGGTTAGGTCTGAAACCACCTCCATATGTACCGCCTTTGTTGCGAAGCAAATAAACACCGCAATGTAACTCTTCGTAACACGCATTCCTCTTTGCTTGTATGTCGTTGCAATTGGGCCACAAAAATCAACACCTACCGTTGTAAAGGGTTTTGCGACAACTACCCGCTCGGTCGGCAGGTCACCCATAACCTGCTGCGCAAGAACTGGTCGACATCGAAAGCAATGCACACACCGCGTCGTCACGGATCGTACAACCTTTCTCGCATGCACTATCCAGAAGCGCTGTCGAATTATTGCCATCAGTGCTTCAGTTCCAACATGCTTATTTTCGATGTGCACAAAACGTACAAAGCTGCGTACGAAGCTGCTAACGCCAGGTAGCAATATTGGATATTTAACATCATAAGGTAAATCGGAGTTTCGTAATCGACCCCCAACTCGCAGAACTTCCACCCCACAAGAGGCTTCAATGAATACGCTGAGGCTTCTCACTTTACTTGAAGCAGGTATCTCCCTGTTCTTTTTCAGTTCGCGGTATTCTGCGGCGAAGAAATGCTGTTGTAAACAGTATGCGATGCGAATCATTGCTTCATCTAATACTTCAGCCGTCAGTAGAGGAAGATTACCCTGCTCCCCTTTTATGCGACGTCCCACATAAAGACAATAAGCGACGATTCTTTGCGTTTGCCTGAAGTCGTTTCGTCCTTCTAACCAATGCAAGAAGTGGTTTGAATTTATTTCGGCTACCAGCAAGGTAGCACTTTTTCGCCTCTCTTCGTTAACCTGTACATCTTTGCCATGTCTTTTGTTCGCAGGCCATTCCGCGCATGGCTTCATAAGGAACGGTGGGCCTGTGAACCAAATTGAGTTCGATAATTCATCAGCATACGCACCTCTCGACACAATACCCGCTGGATTCTGCCCCGAAGAAACATGACGCCAAATCGCTTGCTTAGTTACTTCTTGAATGGACGACACTCTGTTGGCTACGAAAGTGGTCCACGTCGATGGATGAGCACTTAACCACTCTAAGACTATCTCCGAATCACTCCACAAATAAATCGCTTCCGACATCATCGGCAAATTCTCCACTGTCTTCACCATCAACAACGACAACAAGTGAGCGGCCATAAGCTCTAACCGCGGCAGTGATTTAGTCTTTAACGGAGCAATACGCGATTTGGCAGTCCATAACTGCACGTTTACGTTATCGAAATTATCGACACATCTAACATATACGCAGCAACCGTATGCTCGCTCAGATGCGTCAGCGAATCCATGAACCTCTAGGCGTGCATATTTATTCGCGCTCAATATATAACGTGGCACTTTAATATTTCGCACGTCATTAAGTCTGCTTCGAAACTCAACCCAATAATTGTGCAGAGCCATCTGTAACGACTCGTCCCAAGCCACCTTTTTTATCCACAGCTCTTGCATAAAAATCTTTGCTTTTACGATGACTGGGTTTACCAGTCCCAGTGGATCAAATAATGTGGACATCTCTGCTAACACAACTCGTTTGGTGATAGATTTCGGTTGCGGCAAGTCTGGCCACACATACCTAAAATGATCGGACGTTGGCTCCCACACAAGGCCAAGCGCTTTAATGATTTCAGCGTCGTTAATTCTGATAGGCTTTTCCTGATCGGCTTTTGGCACTTGTTTCAGAAAACTCACATTATTTGAGTGCCAGTTGCGTAGCGGAAAATACGCTGAATTCATTAGTTGCGATACTTCCGTATATATTTGCATATATTTTGTATCAGCGCCGCTTATAAAGTCGTCCATATAAAAATCCGAAATGATTTTCTTTGCACCTAATGGAAATTTTGCTGCGTTGTCTTCGCCTATCTTTTTCAGGCAACGAGTTGCTAAAAATGGCGCAGCCGTTGTACCGTATGTAATTGTGAGTAACTTATATGCTGCGATATTCTCCTCGGGCGACGGTCGCCACAATATCGCTTGGTAATTAGCATCTTCTGCGGTGACCCAGGCCTGTCGATACATCTTGGTCACATCGGCAGTTAATGCAAACTTATAGCATCGAAATCGTAGTACAATTGATATCAAATCGTCCTGCGCCACTGGTCCTTTCATCATGACATCGTTAAGAGATAGGCCGCTGCTTGTCTTAGCGCTGCAGTCAAAGACAACACGCAGCTTCGTACTCGTTGAATCTGGTCGTAGCACATACTGGTGTGGCGAAAAATATTTCAGCTTACCTACATCAGACGCAGCCACCATAGCCATATGCCCCATTTTAATATACTCATCGATGAATTCTACATAAGCTTTTTTGGTATGAGGTTCCTTACTCAAACGCTTCTCTAACGCCAAAAAACGTCGTTCAGCTGTGCGAAAGGAATCACCTAGCTTGATGACGTTCTCCTTGAAAGGAATCTTTACGATGAACTTGCCATTACTATCGCGGCACACATTTTCTTGAAAAATTTTTTCACACCGATGTTCATCTTCAGTGAAGTGCTCTACTTTTAACGGTACTTGTTCCATCTCCCAGAAACGCTCTACTAATCTACTTAGATCGTCATCTGGGTTCTCACTGGGCCGCACATCTACTGCCAAAGTGTGGGTAAGTAAGGGCTCACTTTCTTCACAACCACCTGTTGCGCCAGATACCACCCAGCCGAATACCGTCTTTTGTAATCGAGGTAAACCAGCTTCCATCTTGATTTGGCCTACAGACTGCAACTCTAGAAAAACCTCTGCACCCAGTAATAAATCAACTCGCGTTGGAATATTGAAGCGTTCATCAGCCATTGCGATATTACTCGGTATATTCCATCTAGAAATATCAACAAATTGATTAGGTTTTTTACTAGTAATTTTTGGTAAAACATGAAACTCAAGTGTTGCTTCATAACCACTGAAGCGTGACTTAATATTGGTTTGCACACTTTTGACTGCAGTCGTTTTAACGCCATTAACACCGTTAATTTCCAAAGAGCTTGCTAATCTGGGGAGTCTCAACATTCTAGCTAAGTAGTCACACATCAGGTGAACTTGCGATGCGGAGTCTAGCAACGCGCGCGCTGGGTGGTACCTACCAAATGCATCCTTCAGTAATATTACGGCAGTTTCCAGGAACACTTCCTTTACAACTTTCGATTTGCCGCTCGTGCATAGCACACTATTTTGGGCTACAGCATGCAGCAGGATGCAGCAAAGTATGATGAGGATGACTACAGATTGTACACTTCGTAGCGCGGCATTGCTTAAACCAATGAC